TACTGTAGATACATGGATGACACGTTCATCCTCTGTAAAGATAATACGTTGCCGCAAGAGGTTCTTAGGCGATTTAAAACTGTAAGGAATTCGATATTAAAAGCATCTAACCTTCAAGACAGTCCATGCCAATGCATTTGACTTAATAAAAAGCACCAGAAATACTCGTGCCCGGTCTTGTTCAGATTCGACTCTCATATATTAGCTGAACGGTTAAAAGAATCCGAGCGGCTAATCTGCGCGCTTACGAAATTTAGGAACGCTCGTATAGTCTCAGATTAGACCACCAATCAAAGGCTTACGCAAAAACGTACCTTGAACGAAAATAAAGGTGTTGGGATCATAACAAACCACGATGCATCAGCTGTTGGATCCACTGATGCAGCTACCCTATCTCATGTTCTCCAGTACTCTGATATACCAACAAAGAATGCTAATTTGCCTGTTATGTCTGTAGTGACATCTGTTAGCCAATGTACATCTAATGACGTCACTAATCCGATATTACCCAGTTTACCATTAGAAGCCCATAAGCAAGTACTTAGTTCTAATGCTACAACTCTTAAAAACGCTGTCAAGATTAAAATACCTTTGCCACGTAAGAAGAATGTAAGTACAGAACCTTCTGGTTCTAGACCCAATATCAAAAATACTACGATGACCCTACCAAATAAAAATAAGACTATACTTCCCGACACCATGCTTTACCTTACGCATCGTAGGGGAGGTTATAAGGGCAGACTTGGTTCAAATGTCTCACAAGATGACCACTGCAATCATTATGTAAGCAGGCCTAATATTGGACAGACCACAATGAACCAACGCACCCTACGGTTATCCTCAAACGTTTTAAATAACATACCTGTAAGACATAACTATTCTCAACACTTTCCAATTGGGCAAGATGGTTTACTAGGTTACTCAACATCAAACGTTTTAAATAATAAACCTGTAAGACGTAACTTTCCTCAACACTTTCCCATTGGGCAAGATGGATTACTAGGTTACGCACCATCAACCCAACCCCAACTGGCAGGTGCCTGTCTTAACTGTCCGCCTAATCAAGTTCAACAAATTAACCCACTTTATCGAAATAATGATTTTTTTTTGGCCTTCAGAAATCCCTGATCCCACTAGCAATACAGTTTGTTCAAGCGATAGCCCATACGATCAGTCAAACATAATAAACCACAGTCTATGCAAATCCAAACTACATAACATCAATAGGGAAGCTCTCGGCTTTTTTACACTCCACACTCCATTTTTAAACTTATTACTTATCAATGCACGTTCACTTCTGAACAAAATTTCAGCCTTGAGAACATTAGCTTTTCTAGCCAAACCTTTCATACTTATCACTGAAACATAGTGCTCTCAAGCAGTATCTAATTCAGAATTAAATATCCAGAATCTAAATATCGAATCTATCGCTGCGACAGAGAAACTAGGCGAGGAGGTGGTTGCATTATATATGCTTTGGATACCCCAACAACTAATAATGTTGAAGATATTGTCCTGAATAGTTTACCAGAATCAGTCTGGATATCAGTCAACACCCTGAATCATAGTCTACTCCTTGGATGTATATACAGAGCTCCTGATAGTTCGAATAATGGGAATGATCTTATTATCAATGCATTCATACATGCATCTTCTCTAAACTTTAATGCTAAGGTTATCACTGGGGATTTCAATTATCCTGGGACCAACTGGAGTACTGGTAGTTGTCAGTCATGTAATGATGAGTTCTCGGCAACCATTAACATGCACTGCTGGTCACAGTGGGTTCGTACCCCAACTAGAGGCGATAGTATACTTGATCTAATATTTAGTTGAGATGTTACCCCACTATCTGTAAAAGTATATGATGAATTTGAAAGCAGTGACCATAAGATAGTAGTTTGCGCTTTCCCTATCTATCTCTCTTATAACCCACCCATTCAAAAAACCTGTCAATATAGAGACTATAAGCATGCTGACTGGGACCTCCTGCATCCATTGATTAAACTTTCAGACTGGGATAACTTTTTTTCATATATTAGTCTCATGGATGCTATCAACGAATTCTATCTGATCATTAACTCTTGTTTAGATTCCAGTGTACCTCTTAAAACGTACAGGTTTAGTAAACCTTACGAATTATATATACCAGCTAAATATCGTAATAAACTAAAACGCCTACAGAATCGTTATTTTAAGTCAAACGACTTCACAGCAGTTGCACAAACAACAATAATTTTTAATCAAATTAAAGAGAAACATAGGTTAAAAGTCATTAATGAGGAGCTGTTAGCCCTTAATACTAACTCGAAAGTACAGAACTCAACTCTCCTTTCCAATAAACGCACTAAAGCAACTCGAAATGTTGATATACCGTGCATCTAGCATAATAGCACTTTTATATAAGACTCTAAAACAATGGCCGACCTTTTCAGTAGTATATTCGCGAATGGTGTAGAAAACATAAGTGTCTATGCTTCGAGAGTTATGTGCGTGACTAGCAACTCAATAAAATCTATCTCCTTCACATGCATGAAAATTAATAAGGCTATAAACACCCTTAAGCTTTCGAAAGGTCATGGAGTAGACGGGATTTCATCATTTCTCTACAAATATGGTGGTCCAGATATTCCACTTCTTCTTCTAAAGCTGTTTACTCTCTCTATGGAAACCGGTTCTTACCCTTACCGTTGGAAAACCGCGTACATCATACCACGTTACAAATCTGGAGATAAGACTGACATGAACAATTACCGGCCAATAAATATTACTCCAGTTATTTCTAGGATTATGGAAAAAATTATAAGTGATGAACTTTCCAACTATTTACTTGCTGGAAAATTTATCAATGATACTCACCATGGATTTCTTAAAAATCGTTCTTGCATGACATGTCATTTTGACTTCTTTAATTTAGTCTATTCTCTACGTAGCCAAGGATATCTAGTCTTAGTGCTATATCTGGACATTTCTAAAGCCTTTGAGATGGTCAGCCACCAACTTCTTATAGGTAAGCTCGCACCTTATGAGGTTCAAAATCCTTTGCTTGCTTGGCTTGATTCCTTTCTCAGCAATCGACATCAAATAGTTAAAATTAACTCTTCATTGTCTAACGCTGTCCCTGTTAGAAGTGGTGTAATACAAGGTGGTAGTGTCTTGGGTCCTTTGCTCTTTTTAGTGTTTATCAAGGATATTTGTGAAAGTTTTTGTGTCGGTAAGCCCCTTCTATACGCAGATGATCTTAAAGTAGTATATTCATTTTCTCCACATGACCTGCAAAATATGCAAAATTGCACCAGCATGGAGCTTAACAAGGTAGCACAGTGGTGCTTAAAATGACAACTGCAGCTTAATACGGATAAATGTGGATGGATATGCTTCGGCGATACATCACTCAACCTAGACATTACCATAAATGGAGAAGTGTTATCTAGGTTACATACAGTAGTAGACTTAGGACTTAGATATTCCCAAGACTTGTCCTTTACAGAACATATATTAAAACAGACCTCTAAGTCTCAACGTCTAATAGGTTACATAACTCGAAATCTTTACAACACTGAGTCACGTATTCTAATGTACAAAGTTTGTGCTCGACCTCTTCTGGAATATTGCACGTTTATTCTTAGCAGTGCACGCATAAAGGATAAATTAAGGCTGGAATCAGTACAGAGACGATTTACACTTCGTATTCTTGGAGCTGATTGTACCTTAACTTATAATTCTAGATGTAATAAACTTGGGCTAGACCCGTTATGGAGGAGGAGACTCAAACTAAATCTTATCTTTTTCTTCAAACTACTTAATAAATTATCCTTTACATCCAATCACGTGATTCAATTTGCAGAAACTTCTTATCATGACATCCGTAATTCCTTGGCACCAGTGAAACAAACTCATTCTAAATCATCTCTTTATATGAATTACTTCACCTGTAAATTTTCTAGACTCTGGAATAACCTACCACAATCTATCCGCACGATAAAATCACTCCCATTATTTGTTCGCTGCATCGATGCATACTGCTCCTCTGAAAATGCATTGAATGGTCTAGCGCCTTTAAGTGTATCTCATTCCACAAGTGATATTTTAGGAACCTTAAATGTTTAGCCATCTTTATTAGTGAATTCCCGTAGTAAAACCACTCACTTGCTGTCAATATGTTAACACCGCCCCTAGCAACTTTAACTAATTTGAATAACATAAACAGTATATCACTGTGTCACATGACACACGCATTTAGGTAGACCTGATTGATATATTTTGGTAATTACTTTTTTGTTGTTCCGTGCTCTCTGTTTTCGTTTTAATTTCTCTAGTTGTAGATAATTATCATTATTTCGATCTGGCACACGAATTGACCTTAATTACACCCTTCATAAATCAACAGGCTGTCCATTTAAGAAATATTAAAAACTCCCGGCTGATGCATTGGATCGCTGTAATATATGTACTACTTAAACACCTATTGAACTAGTATACTTAAAACTTTCTTTTATCACATGTTTGTTCTGCACGTCTGTTATTATTTATACCAAATTGATCATGCCTGTAAACTGGCGTGAATTCTGTAATTATTATTTTTCAGAATATAAATTATTAATGAAGTGCATCTACAGATTACGTAGGACAATACAACAGTCCTTTAACGCCGGAGAACTACGATTAGTATTTTCTACGCGCCCAATGGTTACATTGAGGCTAAAAGATGAATTACCTAGAATGAACACCTCAACTTGTATTTATCAGTTCGACTGCTCTTGTTGAGCGCTTCTGTCTTTTTTTTTTCTAAATAATCATAACAACTGAAGTATAGTTCAAAATATCTAATAAGAATGTTTTTCTTAAATGGATCTTTGTGTTCATCTACTATTATGTTTGATGAATTTTAAAGTTTCCAATATTATTATTATTATTATTATTATTATTATTATTATTATTATTATTATTATTATTGTTATTGATAGTATTATTATCTTTCATCTTCAAATAATACTCAGGTTTCACATATACCATTCAAACAAAGTGTTATTCATTTATGGCAATTTGAAGGAATACGTTGGTTTTCCAAAGGTTTATCCGCTCGTCTTATCCAGACAACATTTCATTCATTTTGGGTTGTTTTAGTTTATGAACCTATGAAGTTATTTTGTTTAAAAGATGATTATCGGAATAAATTTTCTAATGTATAGATAGATGAAAAGAAAATTATTGCGTCTTCTTATTTTTTCTTTAATGATTTATGTATTATTTGATTGTGTATCAATCTAGCATTATGACTACCACCACTACTGACTACTACTGCTACTACTATCAACACACTGTATGTTTAGAAATTTTTCCGAATTGTATATATTTTTCGATAAATCTATTTTGATTGTGATATATACGTATGTAGTTGATAAGTATGTTATTTATCATCTTTCATAGTTTTGTCTACTAGACCATGACAACTATGTTGTTTATGTTAAATGCTAATAATAAGCTGTTAAATGTCCACAGAATCCTATTCAGTATGTACAATAAAGTTAATGATGTAATAATAGTAGAATGAAATAGTTATCAATACTACGTTTCTTCATTTTATTATATGAGACCAAATGATAGAGCAAAAGATTTCTGACTAAAAAAATGAAAAGAGTATTGTGTTAGTTGGGTTTTCCATACCCAACAGGTGTAATAGAGTTCATTTAATTAATAATTTGTAAGTAATAACTCTATATCGCCTTTTTAACATACCTCAGGTGGATGGTTTTATTCAGTTTTGTTTTCTTAGTTAACCGTTGTTACTGACTGACTGACTGAGTTCTTCAGAACAATATCATCAGCACAAATTCGGGTTAGAAGAGAAATATTCGAATTTCTCCACGTATAACTCTCAGTTTGTCCTGTCGACCTCGATCTTGATTGATTGTTGTTAATCTTTACCTTGTCATCGTCTACCTGTTTATTTTGATTGTATCCCCTTTGATCTGATTCTTGGGTATATATTTGCCCATGGTTTTTCTGATTGACTGGTAGATTGGATCGATTTCGATGTGTTAGTTGGTTGATGAGTGCCGAGCTTCTAAAGGTTCCCTTTTGTTCTTAGCATTCCCACTATCCAGGATCCCAACATTTCCCCCGTTGAATATGTATCCACAGTTGTTCACATGAATTGGTATAAGTGAAGATATTTCATGGCATTTGACCACTAATTGATGTTTATGAAGGCGAAGGTAAAGGGGGCGCCCACTTTGTTCGACAATGCTTTTTGCAATCGGAACAGTTTATTTTGTAGACGATGTCTGGTTTTTCTTGGTCATTTCGTTCCTTGGCTTGCATAGGGTTGATTGAAGTGATATTTTTGATTTGTGTGCTATACCTATTCCACACAATCTCGATCATCTCGTAATTTCTGATATATCATTTATATATGGTAGGATGATCCGTTTGTTGATTTCTGTATTTGATTCCATTACTGCTGATGTGTTGGCTTCTCCAGTTCTCCTGTTTCGGCTCTGGTGATCAATACATACGCGAATGATAGTTTGTTGTGAATTTTATGTCATCAAAGACGTTATTTATCAGAGTGTAGATGTTTTGTAGCTCGTCCCATTTGATGATGACGAATATGTCATCCATATAACGAATCCACATCTTTTAGGTTGGTCGCCGGTAAAGTCGCTTCTTCCAGTCTGCACCACCGCTTCTGCAATAAGGTCATTGAGGACCACCGTTAAGTAGTTCCGTACTAGAACTATATATAGCTTTCCAATCGTTCCTGATTTCCATTGGTTATATAACGAAAGTCAGTTCAGGCTGTAAATTATATAATTTATCCATTATCACAAAACCTTTTACATTCACACAGACCACATACTTACATGCTTTTCTCATTGAACTATACTTGTGCTAGTTTCCTCATTAACAATTATTGAATACAAGTTATCTGTGCAAACATTATCAGAAAATTAATTTCGAATGAGTCCCCAAATGGCCTGGTACGGCCGAGAGTGGAGAGAGTCCGCTCTCCCTCTCCAAATGTTCTCACATGGCCATGCGTATATAGCCTCTGCCAGGGAAGTCCTACTCACTGCCTTCTCGTGGCATTCCTGTTGTATACGAAATTGAGAAGACGAAAAGCGAATGTTTGGCGCTTTAACCGGGTTGGTGGACATGGAGGGTCCACCTAGGGGGGTTGAAAAACCCTGATTCCAAACCAGTGGTGCACATGGGCTCCAGTATCCTGCGGGAACAAATGGCATATGAACCAACTGTTGGTCACCGGCTTCCATAGGATTGCATCTCCTTACGTTGCTCCCCTGCATTGTTTATCAGACGTTTAGGTCGAAGGCTCCGGGTGTTGCCCCCTAAGAAAATCGCCTGCTTCTGTTTGGGCACCCAGACAGTATCACAACCCTCACACATATCAAATGAGATTTGTGTGACGCATATGTATTTGGTGCCTCCTTGTACCAACATCTTTGCATTAAAATAAATAAATAATTTCGAATGATCCAATGGTATAGTGTATTGATATTATATTTGACATTTATACATCCATAGTATGATTATTATTACCATCAACTTTAGTATAATTATTAATAATTCCAATGAATCATTCACATTTTATTATATTATCTTGTACTATTTGTTTAATTGACCTTCTAAGCTATTCCTCCATTGTATGCTCTCAATAGTTTAGTTTATACCAAAATTAATTTATTTAATTTTTCATTCTAAGAAAAAATAACTAAAATGATCCAAATGTTGACTAATTATGATCCAGATCAAATATATTGGTATATGTATGATTAAATTGAACTGTTTACCCCACTAATAAGGAATTTCTCAAAACTAAATTGTTTAACATCAGAGTTCATTTGAACAAATAATGAAGATCAATTAAAAATGATGTTGAAAATATTAAAGCAGTATAATTAATTTCTATACAAGGTCATAATAATGTATTGATTTTATCAGAAGGGGTTTGTGGAGATTTTAGAAATTCCACAGATTGAAATCATGAGTCAATTGAAGCTAGACCACCATGGAAAACCTGGAAGCACTGGATGGCCGTTTCGTCCTAGTATGGGACTCCTCAGCAGTGCGCACCCACGATCCCACGCCCCGCGGGATTTGAATCCAGGACCTATCAGTCTCGTGAGCAAGCGCTTAACCACTGGACCACTGAGTCGACATCCAATGGTGTTACTGTCTAACTTCAGCTAATTCACGAAATTGCTCCATCGTAATTAATATGAATTTAGATTGTATTTACCAACAGTACGAATAGTACTTTGAAAATGTTAGAAATAAAAGTTTAAAATGTATTGATCTGTCATTATTACACAGTAAGATAGTATAAATAATAAAATTCATTATCAACTTGACAGAACTTATGATGAAACAAAAGACATAAAGGTTATAATAACATTTGAATAATCATCTTGGAAAAAGTTGTTAAAGGATAATGATAGGTGATCACAGTTTGATGAAAGGATAAAGTAACAATAAAAACTAAATGAGACCAAAACATACTAGAAAAGGATGTTAGTGCCACGGAAGAATGAGAGATTGCACGTAATGCTTTTGTATGCAATGTTCAAGCTTGAATTGATGAACTGCCAACGCCCCTGTTTATTAGACTGTATTGATTGTTCATTTAGTATACAAACAGTTTTAATTTACATTTTAGAAGCAGAAGAAGTTTATCAAGCTAAAAATCTTACTTGTTCTGAATTTGGCTAAGCTAAGACTGTGCTCAGCAGGATATAAAACAGGGAGAAAGAGTTAGTTGACAGAAAAAAGACATAAAGTAATTTTAATCTCACGGTTGAAGGACAGACAAACAGTGTATACACCCATGTCATTGTGGTCGATTCTAAGCCATATCACATAGAGTCTCCAACCATAGGTTACGATAGTCATGTGGACCCCAACCAAATAGTCTGCATCTACCAACATGTCTCAGACCAGAAGTTAGTGACTTTAAGCACTGATGCCACATTTTGGTTTGGCCGCCCCTAACTTTCTTCCAACCATCCCCTACACCGGTTAGCATTGCACGTCGTGGTAATCGGTGTTCAGGCATGCATAGTACGTGGCCCAACCATCTCAGTCGATGAAGATTCATAACCTCATCAACTGATTTACCATCATTCCCTAATACCCTGCGTCTAACCTCACTATTACTTACCCGATGATCCCAGCAGATGCCAGCAATATTTCTAAGGCATCTGTGGTCAAATACTAGTAACTTACGAGTGTCTTCTACTCTTAATGGCCATGTTTCGCAACCGTAAAGTAGAAGGGGACGAACTGCCGCGCAGTATACTCGTCCTTTTATTGATAGACGGATATCTCGCCTTCGCCATAGGTGACGTAAGTTGGCAAAAGCCAAACGAGCTTTTCGAATCCGTGCTGAGATTTCGTCAGACACCAAGCCATTAGGGCTGATCAGACTTCCAAGATAAGTGAAGTTGTCGACGCGTTCGACTACTTCACTCCCTATCCTTAGTTCAGGTGTTGACGCAGACCAGTCCTGAAGCAAAAACTTGCATTTAGAGGAGGAGAAACGCATTCGAAACATCCTGGCATTGTTGCTTAGTGCTACCAGAAGACTCTGCATTTTGTCAGCGTCTTCACCAATCAGGACTATAGCATTTGCATATTCAAATTCGATAAGTGAACCTCCCAGAAGGAGATCGGTTCCTGAAGAGTTAGGAGACGAGAATGTTATTTAGAGCAGTAGGTTTATGATGAAATTGAACGAGAATGGAGATAGTGAATAGTCTTCCCGAACACCACTTGAGGTTGCGAAATCATGTGTAACTTTGCCATAAGCTCTGACTCGACTAGTAGTGTTCGAGTAAAGAGCCTTCACAAGGTTTATGTACTTCTGAGGTACACCTTTCAATGACAGACACTGTCACGGAACCTCTTGGTCCACAGAATCAAGTGCTACTTTTGAGTCAAAAGCTATCGTTGTCGGACGCCGATAAGCATGTCTGTGTTCCAGAACCTGACTAATGGTATGTAGTCGATGCAGCCACGACCAGGTCTGAAGCCAGTCGGATTTTCTTGTACATGAAGTTGTAAAACCCTGATTCCGAACTAATGGTGCACATCGTGTTGTGACTTTAAGTCCGGCTAATCATCACGTGGTTTATCCGCCAATTGGACTACGACTTATACTATCTTAGCACCGTGCCAAACCAATGACGTTCGACCGGTATGAGCAGCCTAGCGCCCTTATTGATCCTTTTCCCTCCTAACCCTACCAGTGGAGTTCAGAACACCAACAGCAGCTTCCACTATGTAAATCATTTATTTCAAGCATACTTGGTTTATATACCAGGCAAACAGACCACATCACACCACAAAATAGAAAATAACATTTGTAAAAGATCAACCTAAAAAGTACCTATGAACATGAGAGATTGTAATTAATAAACTGAGTATAATTTAAGAATAGCAAGTCGTATCATAATAGTCTATAAGTCAAAACAAAACTTATACTAAGAGGAATATAGGTATACACAACATAG